TCAGACCTCCCAGGGGAGGTGCACTGAGCATCCTTCCCCTCTCTCTGAGCTGAGGTTTGCCTGCCAGCCCCTGCCTCTGGGGCAGCCTGCCCTTCCTCCCGCCCCAGCCAGTTAACCCTGGAAAGTCCCCGGTCCTGGGACCTGGTGCACTGAGCCCTCTTGTGGCCTTTTTGCCCACAGCGATGGCAAGTTAGGCTTTGGGCTGTCTCTGTCCAGGCCCTGGCTGGTTCTCTGGGGCGCAGACGACCTGTTCCTTGGTCTCGCCCCGTAGTTGACTCCCTCCGTCGCTCAGCCAAGATCCGGTCTCTGCGTGGTTCCCTTTCTTTCCGGGACTCCCGTTCACACCCGGACCGGCTCTCCGTGAACTAATCCGCCAGTCTCCCAGCCTCCTGGGGGTTCTCTGGTCTCCGGTCCTTGAGCCACAGCCTCAGTTTGGGTGGGCACGCTTCATAGAACTGCTCCATCATGACCAGCTTGAGCAGCTCCTCTGCGGTCTGGGCTCCGACTCCAGACACCCACTTGCGGCAGTATTGCGCCAGGCGGGAGGCCAGGTCCACATAGGTCTCCCGTGGCCCTTTCTGTACCCCCCGGAACTTCTTCCTGTACATCTCGGGGGTCAGCCCGAACTTGTGCAGCAGGGCCTCCTTGACTCGGTTGTAATCCCCTGGCTGTAGGTCCTCCAGCTGACTGAGCACTCCGGCCGCCTCCTGGTTCAGTGCGGGGACGAGCTCCTGCAGCCAATTAGCTGGGGGAACTCGTTGCAGTCCACAGGGCCTCTCAAAGGCACTGAGGAACCCGTCTATGTCGCCCATGTCCTCCAATTGGGCCACCACGAGCCTCTCCAAGCGTCTGGTAGTCCTGGGATCCTGGGGCCCATCCGCACTTGGCGCAGCCGGTGCCCCACCAGTTCTCCGCTCTGCCATGGCCAGCTCATGCTGTCGCTGCCTCTCTCGGTCCTGGCGATCCCTTTCTCGATCTTGGCGCTCCTTCTCTCGGTCCTGGCAGTCCCTCTCTTGGTCCTCTACTTCCAATTCCCTGATCTGCAGCTGGATCTCCAGCTGCCGCAGCTCCGCCGGGC